ATGTACTAGATTGGGAATTCATGCTTCTAGTTTTTTGGAGGTGATGTTTGAGCACTATAAATTGCTTTGATATTACATATATAGGTACTACATGTGGACCACTCTCAAATTTGTTCATTTTTAATGATATCGTCAATTCTCTAATTTTGGTGAATATTTTTTTCATTTTTGGTGTGCATTGCTAACAGTGGAGCTATCTCAGCCGACAGGCTGCTTGTTTATAAATAAAAGTTATTGAAGTTGTAAATGGTTAACAAGAAATCCTGGTTGTGCTTAAAATAAACCAACTATTTGAAAAGGGCTTTTAAATTGAGCGATAGGATATTCATGCATCATAAATTTTTCCTCTTTTAAAAACTATAAAGATAACTATATTATCTGGTGTAATACCAATTTTGCAGAAAACTGAATTGAACCTGCAAGCATTGTCAACAACAATCCTTAGTATACAAAATCAACCACTATATGTATGTTGCCTAGCAACCAGTGGACCTGAAATTTTGAGCACTATCATTGACTACTTGACTACATAGAAACTCTTAAATCTATAATAACAATATTATATTTTGATTTAAAAGAAATATTACACAGAAACGCAATATATTGAAGTACAAAAGGTGTTTTGATATTGATTAAGTATTGTAATAAAAATTATATAGTAAAATGGAATTAATACAAAAGCTGAAAGTTGCAAAAAGATTGCAACAATTGTTGAAATGGATTTTTAGAAACTGAATCTATTGCTGCAATATTCACGACTGAGTAGGTTTTATTGAAATTTATTGTTAAACATACTTAGGAACTGTTGTCTTTATTTTCAGCACTTTCTAATTCTTGTAAAGCAATATTGTGTTTATTCGATGTGATCGTGAGATTGATTCTTTCCTAGTAACGATTGTATAAACTCCTAGGGAAATGTAGCACTGAGAAATATTGTGATGTCATTTTAAATACTTCCTTGCATAGAATTAAAAGGAATGTTTCTCAGATTGACAAATTTAACCAAGAACCCCTGATTCTGGAGAAAATTTATGAAAATTTGCCTTTAAGGGAGACTGATATACCATCTAAATAATTAATAGTCAATAATTCTATATCAATTTATTTTTTTATAAATTTTCATAAATTTTAAATGATGATTGAAAACCATTTGACCATGAGTTTCAAATTGATATTATTCAATGAGAGCAATTTAATTCGATAACAGACCAGTGGGTATGTGTGTGCGGTACAGTTCAAAGAATTCTTAAGCTCACTAGCTCGTACAATGTAGCTTTGCCATTTGATCAAAACTTTTAACCTATTCTTGGTACTGTAAAATCTGTATTAGAAGCTGCAGCTTCTATTAAAATGGTACAATGCAACAGAGGGGATGCAGCGGCTTCTATTAGATCATCTACACATATGAGAGATGATGAATTTTTGATTCTCAATTATCAAAAACAAATAATGCGACTTCTATTAGGGAAGCGGCTTCTATTAGATCATCTACACATATGAGAGATGATGAATTTTTAGCTCCGCT